CTTTAACTGTGAACCCTACCGTCCCTTAAACCTAACACAAACCTATAATCATCACTTAAACATTTTTTCTGGATTTAGTATTCTGAGAGTCAGTATGGAAGCAAATCTTCAGGATAGCCTGAGATCAATAAACGTTTTGAATTAATAATACTTATTGAGTGCACCGTAGTAATGCACGGTGAAAATGTTTTACTAACGAGGGTGGAAGAAGGGAGATATTATGGAAGGGGCGCGGGACACTCCGCATATTTGTTCAAACAGTAAATTGATCTGAAGATGGGGGGGTGAAAGAGCCGCAGTCCTAGGTGCTGCTGACGCCCGACGGGGATGGTTGGGCTGCCGACTTTTCCGTAAAGGGTGAGGGAAGGAAGGAGCAGGAATTCGTCAGCCCTGGTGACACATGACCGAATAAGGTCAACTTATGTAACGGAAAAAGTGAAAAGCAAACAAAGTCTTGTGTGCATATAGGACGGAATTCTCTAGACATTCCGTTATCGGGGGAGTGAAAAGTATTCGGTAAAGTATGCACCTGTTCAAGTGCACAGAAAATAGAGAGAAAAGGCTGGTTATATTTATATTTGAAGAAACAGTCATGAATGATACATTAGCTTATGTTTGCCGTACGCTGCTAACCTGGGCCGTCCTTATCTTAGCTGCGTCCTGGTACATCGTTGTGTATGAACGATGCCGTACTAGGTTATGAGCACAAATTCGTCAATTAAAGTTGTTAGCGACACAGACAGAAACAATTAAATGTCGATTTCGCATTTGCTTGCTGTTTCTGATCACTTATTCCCCGGCACGAGATACTTCCGCACCCGAAGTTTGGATCCCAGTCAACCGCCCATTGAAAAAGAATTTTCCCAACATACTACGAGTTCTGTCATATAGGCATAATCTTTAGGATTAAAATGATCGCATCCTGCAAAATAAAGAAGTGGAGGAAGTGGAAGTGCTTCTATAGCACTACTTTGAGCAACATTTGCATAAACAATAACGAATCTTAATAGAAGCGAAAAGGAGAGTTCCAGGAAGTGGTCGAAAAGAAGGAGGCACGATCGCTGAAACAAGAGCTTTACCGGCCTGACGTCTCAGATCCTTAATCGAGTCCATCATCAGAGACAGTCTGATGATGGATTTGAGGGAGAGTCTGAAATGTCAGGCTAAGAAAGCTTTTGTTTCAGTGATCGTATTTCCTTCTTCACAATAGTACATCATTTTAGGGTACGTCTGGCCTCTTCTGGACTAGTTTAAGCATTTTTCCCAAATCTTCGCCGCCAAGTCAGGTAATTGTCGCCCTTGGGTTTCCTGCAAGAATGGCAAATTGACGATCTGCTCAACCCTACCAAGAAGACCTGTTTCTAGTTCAGTCATCGTGAGGCTGCCCAAACTTCAAATAAATGTCATGTCCTCTCATGTGTCCTCATAATGCGATGCAGCATTAGCCAATCGGACAGTTTTCCCAACGTCTGTCCCAGTTACGCCTCGACCTTTCCATCGCTTTCTTTGAAATGTCTAAGAACGGAAGCGCGCTTTGAATATAGATATAGTGCGTGGCCGATCTCATGAAATGTTGGCCAAAATTCTAGAATGCGTTTCCGATTAGGAAGGATTACTTAAGTGGGGCTGTTATATTGATTATCATGCAGCATAACCCTATGACATTTCGGACTTGCCAGGATGTCGGCTTTTGAATGCATTTCTTTTTGACCTCCTGCACTAACCACACTCGGCAAAAGGTGACTATTTAAGTAGCCTGCATTTTTCGCATTGATTTTCGATGGTCTTTTAAATTCAAATATATTTTATGAAGAGCATGTACAAAATATGCTTTATTTCTCTCATTTGGTAGGAAATTACATTGTCTTTATATTTTATGCCCGAAGAAAGTGTGTATTTAGGTTTTAAAGAGTTTCCCAATTCCCGAATAATTTTCGGCCTGATCTGCCATTGCATCAGCGTTTAGCAATTTCAATCTACAAGGAACATGCTCTCCGCGTAAGGAAAATTATTTATTCCTTTATGTCTTAAAGAAGACACTACACAGAGTTCATGAAATTTTGCAATGAATCTGAACTGTGTTGTACATATCATGAGGAGCATTAGTAAACGGACATTTGCGGTCTTGCATGCATGCATGCACATCGCACGGTCTTAAAAATATCATAATTATAAACTTTTTGAAACCTAAATACACACTTTCTTCGCCATAAAATATGAAGACAATGTGATTTCCTACCAAATTAGAGAAAGAAAGCATATTTTGTACATGCACTCCATGAAATATATTTGAATTTATAAGACCATCGAAAATCAATGCGAAAAATGCATGCTACTTAATTAGTCACTTTTTATCGAGTGTGGTTACTGCAGGAGGTCAAAAAGAAATGCATTCAAAAGCCGACATCCTGGCGAGTCCGAAATGTCATAGGGTTGTGCTGCATGATAATCAGTACAACAGCCCCACTTAAGTAATCCTTCCTAATCGGAAACGCATTCTAGAATTTTGGCCAACATGAGATCGCCCACGCACTGTACTTTCAGCCTTATTAACGTCCGTGTCTACACCTTGATCGGTACACTCCCTCCATACAGTACAACAAGGAGAATCCTGTTTCTCCAAAATGTCCCATTAAGATATTCAGAGATGTTGTCAAGGTGCAACAACACTATTGGTCTTGCCCTCCCGTGTGTTCCAAGAAATCATATTTTCTCGAACCATCCTGTCCAGGAAAGCATATCCATCCATGCATTTTTCCGTTAAATATAGCGTCTCGGACATTGTATTCCTCTAACACAAGTAAGTTGATTTGCTCTACCAAGCACTGTGAATGGAATTCGATGGGAACAAGTGACATGGCCGAAGTTAATAATGCAAGTGAACTCATTGACTTAGTTTTACCACTGGTTGTTTCCGCAGTGTCATCTTGCAAGATCATATCATGACGCGACAGAATTCAGACAAAAAAACGCAAAACACCTTCCGATTCATTTTAAAGGACGATTTTAAATAACTTTTCCAGTGCTGGCAACAGATAAGGTTCTTCTAGTTAAAATCGCTCCCTCCTCAAAAAACTTCATTGTTGCTGACGTTTTTTTTAAATTGAGATTCCTAAATTACCCCTGAGATACTCAGGATGATTTTTTACTGATGTCGTTTTAAGTAAATTGGTTTGTCTTCACAGAAGTTACGAAAAAAGACATTTTAAGTTCTATCCCACTGCAAGCTTAGACTCGGAGTATAATTAATTTTCCGAGGTAGATGCACCACATTGAGATGATCAAGTTCTGGCCTCCTAGGAGTGGCTTCAATTTTGAGAAGCTTTTCTAACAAAGACATGGATGCTGGAATGGCCATTTCTGCCTTATTTTTTGTTCTCAGCTAACGATACTCGACATCCGAAGGCACACCTCAGGTTTCAATCCTGGTCAGATAAGCATCATGAAATGTCCCTTTTCCGTTTTTGCGGCTAAAAGAAATGACCACATTCATCCAGCGGTCAGAAGACATTATATTGGCAAACTGTGACTCGTAGGCGGGACATATTTGTCTTCCAGGGCTTGTAAGTAAAGACTAGGTACAGAAATACATGACTGTTCTGCAGACCTTGAATGCGATGGCATCATGTTTGCAGATGATATAAAGATCTGGAGAATAATCAGCTGCGCTGACGACGCGCAGAAACTACAGGGAGATGTTAATAAGCTGGCTGCATGGTCCAGCAAGTGCCTTCTAGCGTTTAACGTATCGAAGGGAAGAGACGCCGCAGACCGATGTCCAGACAGAAGGAGCAGGTGCCAAATGTGGTAATCGGCGATGTGTTGACGGCCTGTAGGAAAAGACCGGGATTGGGACACCGACGATCAGCTGGCGTGGGTGGAATGACACTTAGCTGGGCACCAGTGTCAACCAAGAAACGTCTGCCACTCCTGGTGTCGCGGACGTAAAATGTGTGACCAGGGTCAGAGCTGTCGGGAAGATTGGTAGCACTGACGTTCGGGCTGACAGATTTTTCCCGTTTGCTCAGCTTGAAGGTGAAGGAGCAAGGAGAGACGCAGCGACGGGCTTTGGCACCGAAAGTAGTGTGATACCAGCAGGTGGCAGCTGCGTTTGGACGGGCTGAATGAGAAGACTGGACATGCGGGGTGAACGGCTGCGGTTGGCTCCGAGATGAGGCAGAAACTGTCTGATTCTGGAGAGCGGCTATATCATCGGCCAGTTTGCTGAGCTCGATCTCTAACTGCGAAATGGGAGACGCAGGAGGAGTTGAGGGAGTTGAGAGTGATGAAATAGATGGCTTGGAAAAACCGTGCATCTCCATAAGCCGATCAGCCATCTGAGTAAGTTTCGTGGCCGAAAGAATGCCGAAGGCGGGTGCCAAAATATGCTGCACTTCCGGTGGAAAATTGTCCATGATCAACACCTGACTTTATTGTAGATTAGGGAGAAGGAAGATTGCTGTTCGCAAGGAGTCACCAATTGTCGGATGTTGCGTGGTCGACAAGATAAAGATTCCCAATCAAGAGTCACGGAAGACGGAATTAGAGGGACAACCTTTACTGTTTGGAAAGCGTGTACACCAAGGCTGTGTGGGCAGTCGCCGCAAGCGTGCTCTCCAGACCAGTTGTTGTCTGAGTCCGCCTTCGAGGTGTTGTGTCTGCGCGTGTGTGCGCCCTTCGTTGTCTCCACCTCGCCAGCCAATCGGAGTGGGGACAGCGTTGATTGGCTTCGAGCACTTGCGCGTCCCAGCAGCGTATCGACACGGAGTGTGAGGCGGATAGGACGGCAGCGTGACAAAGGCGGAGGGTGAGGAGACGCGAACTGCCACAAGTCGTCCAAAAGGCAACCAGCATCATGCACTGGATTAGGCGTGCCTTCAGAATCTTTCCTCCAGAACTCTTCTCACAGATATTCGGCACGTTCGTCAGACCGCACTTGGAATATGGAATGTCATCATGGATGCCCTGGATGAAGAAAGACAGTGATGTCATAGAGCAGGTGCAACGACGGGCCACAAAACTGTCATACCCAGAAAGACTGATCAAGTAAAACTTGTTCCCCCTATCCTATAGACGAATGAGGTGGGACCTGTTATGGACATTCCGCACTATTCACAGGCATGAATGTTCGCTCAAAACTGAAAACTTCTTTGAATTCACGACCATGAGTCACCTGCGCGGTCATCCGTACAAAGTCAAGCGGGAGTGTACACGCCTAGACCATCGGAAGTTTTCCTTCAGCCAGCGTGTTGTTCGACCGTGGAACTCACTCCCAAGTGAAATAGTGACATCTAATACAATGGCTGTATTCAAAAGGCAGCTGGATCTTTGATAAACGACGATTCTCACTACGGGACTATCTGCGGCCAGCCATAAGCTTCATTTCTTGATTTCATCCCTGTGTAACACATCCCTGACTTTAAATGAAATTTTCCCTTATAAACTATGCAAATGATTGCACTTTATGCCGATTGTATATAATTGCACTTCAAATTTCATATGTATATTTAAAAGACCTCCTACCGCACCCTTCGCAGTCCCGCACTGTAAAAACGTTTTCCGTGAACAACTACGTTACTGACAAAATTTTAGTAAGATGTGCATTTAACATTTATTTGTGCGTACCGTTTTCAATAGGGTTATCAAGGGCATTTTCTATTACCCTAAAAATACACTATTACACTCTTTAACACAAATATTGACCACCATACCGCAAATAAGTCTTACTGTAGATTCCAGGATAGGTTATGGTAAGGGTCATGGTTAGCAGACCTAGGGTCAGTGTTAGGGCACGAAAATAGGCAAAACCTCTACCACCTTCATCACAGCCCGAAGCGATCCTGACGCCTCCGCAACCACCAAAAAGCTCACGATCACCACCCCCACCTCCAGCGATGTGGACTCTGTCCCAACGTGGCCTCAGTGAGGTCACGCATCGGTCTGGTCGGTCGCTTGCGAATCCACCTCATTATGTCCAACCAATATCAAAAAGTCCTTGTCGGTAATAGATACTCGACACCCCTCTCGATCACCAGTGGCGTACTTCAAGGCACGGTTCTGGGTCCGCTACTCTTCCTTCTTTGCATCAATGATATTTCGACTGAACTCGGAAATTCGCAAACTTTTATTTATGCCAATGACCTCAAGTGTGTTTACTCATATTCTAAGGACACCTCAAACGTTTGCATTTAAAAAAAATTATGCCGATTTACTGCGCTTAAGCAGATGGGGTTCAACATGGCGGATGGAGTTTTCATCATCCAAGTGTAGTTTCATGTCTTTTGGTCCTGCCAAACTTCCTGGTCCCATAATTTTTCAGAATAACCCAATTTCACCTCGAAGGACCTAGGTTTTAGTTTTACAAATAAACTTCCTTTATCACCTCATGCAGATGGAATCGCTGCCAAAGCCACGCTGATATAAGGGTTCATATCGCATATTTCTTCCTCCCGTAAATGAAGCTAAGATTTTATCAAATGTTTGTTCTTCCAGTCCTCGAATACTGCAGTCCTTTCTTTGGTTTAATGAACGCCTGTGACCGCTATAAGATTGAAAATGTTCAGAGAGTTTTCACCCGGAAACTGTTCTCTCAAGCTTCGTCCGGTATTTCGTATACTCAGAGATGTCAGCGGGCGAACATAAAGTTTTTGTGGGTTAGAAGACTCGAAGTTGGCCTTTGCTTCCTTTTTCACATCAACTCTAGCTCCAATCTTCCGCTCATTGACACTCTCACTCCGAGAGATCGGTCTTATGCCACGCGCAACTCCTCCATGGTGATTCCGACGTCTCTTTGCACTACATCTAAGCGCTCCGTCTTCTTTGGTTCCAAATATGCCTTTCTTTAGAATAATCCTCCGTCAGAAATTAGGCGATCTCCTAAGTTACTGGTATTCAAGTCGAAATTACGCAAACACCTTACACCGGAAAGCATAAAGGCACTGTTAACGGTCTCATTCCTGAACACTCAGCTTCTTGACTTCGAGAAGGATCCGCTTGTGATTTAGTGGCAGATCAAATGGTAACCCTCAATTATATCATTAGAAGCCCCTGTTTTGCATTGGTTGCTAAATCCACTGTTATCACTCCCACCCAACGGCGACGATTTTCGCAGTTCTTGATGTCATCTCCCGCATTTCGACCTCATGCGGTCTGTCGACGCTCACGGCGGAACCCTCTGTATTCGCCCTCTACTTGTAGTTTGGTCGTACCTCCCCTCCCCACTCCTCGGCTGGGCACGAAGCGTATTGTGGCCGATCGTGTCTGGGTTCCTGTCGTCTGGCCTCTTTGACGCGAATAATCTCATCCGGCGTATCAATCCTGCCCAGACGATGTCAGTTTTGAATCCCTTATGCAATACCACACACAGGCCGGTCCTGACCGCAGTTTTTCCCTTCATGAGCGACAGTTTTTTTCTCATTTAATGTGAATCCATTTATTTCGACTAATCTATAGTGGAGCAATTCACTGCTAGCTCATCTTTTCTCTTAACGGCCTACTCATTTAATAACTATGCATTGCACATTGTACAGATTCTGCCCACCTCGTCTAAAATTCACATGAAAAAATTTTTTACTTGCTATGGACGAACCCCGATGGGTCTTTAATACAATTATTTTATTTTACTTATTTATTTAAGTAAAACAACTAATAGCTTTTTACCTTTCACCGACTTCGGTCATTCTGATGTTTCGGTCTTCAGGAAGGCTCGTGAATACGGTCCTTCAGGGAAATAGGGAAGCACGGACCCGTCAAATGCGTGAGATTTACTGGTGCGGCTGCGGGAAAACAGTGAAGAATTCGCGAGAGCTAAGGGAAAAACACAGGTGATATAGGTAATTGTGCTAGTCTGCCTTAGAGGTCATTAGATCCCCAGAGCTATCAGCGCGCAATGCAAAAATCCACTGCGGAGTACCAGCAAAACCGATGCTAAAATGAGTAAGGGTGATTTGCTTGTCAGGGTCATCGAGACCGAAACGCCGAAGAACGCGCCCAAGCAGACATCAATCGTAGATGAAGGTTAAGGGAAGTGGGTGCTGAGTGACGCCCTAGCCCTATAAGCACAATCCTGAACCCTAGTTCCGTCTCTAGACACCAAGCCCTTACCCTAAGCCTAATCCTATGTCTAAAACCCTATTACTAGCCGTAAGACACGAACCCTAACGAAGTTGTGTTTCATAATTGCAGCCGTTCGCGGTGCACCTCGAATTAAAAAAATCTACGAATATCACTATGCTTGCTGAAAGCATTAATGTTGTGATAGTGGTAAGTGTTAACCAACTACTGAAATCAATGATAGTACGCAAGCTATAATATGTTGATCGACCAGGACCGTGTTTCCGAGCCCCACTCAGTCTCCTCTCGTCTTCCTCGGGATATGTAGCTTTGGGGTTATGTCCTAATCAGTTTTTCTGACCGCTCGTTGGTCATTATATTCATGTTCGGTTGTCTGGCCATCTTAAATCACTGCGTCATGCGTATTTTTCTCGACAGGTCAAGTGCGTTTTTCCTACCAAACTTAACGTATCTTTGTTACCTGCTCACTACATCAGAACAAGCATACGTTTAAAATATTATTTTTTCTTATTAACTTAGTTTAAAACCCAACATTTCCTTCACTGAAAGACACGCCAGTAAAGCCACGTCATCATCATTCCCGTGTTGTAGGTGGCCCTGAATTGTTTCCCAAATATTTCCATGTCAAGCCAGAACGAGTAATCTCATTTCAAGTATTATTGCTGTTCATATTAATGGCAATTGTGCCCCACGAGTAAATCTCAGTAAAATTGGCAGTAATAGCAGTAGAAGTGACAGTGGAAGACACTCAATCGTCAGTATCACATCATTGGAGACGAACGAAATTAGTGTACTCAGCGTATAAATAAACTTGTCCCTAATTCTCAAAACGGAAAGTGGACATACAACTGAAAAGTTTTTTTATTGCTCTTAGGTATGTCGTCACACTTCGTTGTGAGGTTGGTGGTTAATATCCAAAACACCATGCCTGGTGAGTGAATATACCTTGTCAGGAAAGTCCCATTCGGTCGAAGTGGTTAGACCGGAGGTGAGTCTCGCCAGGCCCTCTTAATCTTGTCCTTATCAAACAAGTTTACTAGAGGTAGTCGACTTCTTGTTTCCCCTCTCCCCTCTCCACCTACTAAGAGTATGATTGCATCTCGCTAAGGTGCATTTCCCGTTGACTGCCAAGTAGTTGCCGTACTTAGGTGTCCACCACAGACTCCTTTTTTTCATATAGGCACCGCTTCCGCCCTTGTTGACAGGCAGTCGAAAGACGCTGGTATGAGTACTAAACCCCCACCAGTAGATAAATTGGTGTGCTTCACACTGAGACGGGGTCTGTAGAAGATTAAACAAGGTCATTAGTAACTAGTACCAACTTCCCCTTTAGTATCACATCTATTGTCCATCTTTCATTTATTTCAGTCGCCGTAAAAATCAGAAGTCATGTGGAACCTAGGCCTTTTACCCTGTCCATAGGCGTTGCGTGGGAAATTTAGGGATTAACTAGTACACAGAGAGATGTCAAGCACATTCAACGGAGGAGTGACGCCTCCGTCTGACAAACTTAGACAGACATGTGGGCTTGCAAACGACTGCCCTTTCAGAGCGTGGGTTTACTTTAACTCCGTATGTTTGCGCGTCCTAACACATATATCCCCAGATGCCACGCACAATCCTGCGCTCGTTAGAGTACTTTATTCCTTAACTAAACATGCAAAAATAGTTTACCGTTTCGCAATCTTAATATCTTAGCTGAGGTCTTTGGTTTGTTTAAATTACAATGGGACGTTTTATGATTTTACTACATCCTTATTAAATTTCTTCGTTGCGGCTTCGTTTTTTTCGGCGATATCTTCCCCACTGCTGCCAAAATATGGAGTTCTGTTCTACTTTTCCGCTTAGTATAACTGTTTGCTTATCTTTTTTTATTCTTTGCGAGGTGGCGGTGTTTGCGCTTTCCGATGCCTGCTGCCCGGCCCAACACCATCAATCCTACGCCTATTCCAATTTCTCCTGAGTTCAATTTTAGGCAACGCATAGTAGCTCCCTCGATAAATGTGTGATATTCTGCTTGGATTTTGTATTTTCTCAAGGACTTGTGTATTCTGATTCCCTACCTTGTGTCATCCGAGAGCAACCTCGGTTCGGTTAACGACGAACGTTTAGTCGTCGTATTGTCATCCAACCCATTTCGTCTTTGTAGGAGAAGCTCAGAATTATTTGGTTCATATAATTAAACCTTTGTCGTTATCTAATTACTTACCTTGTTGAACGATAAGAATACTCTTTTTTGGCCTCACCAACTACAAAGACCTTAATTAATCTGGACTCTTATTTTTACTTTATCTGTTTGTTGTTATTAGTTTCATTTCTCAAGGGCCTGTTCGTTTGTACGAATTTGACTGGCCGGTCGCCGATGGGCGCATTTTTCTACTCTTGAACTTTCTGTGTGAAGAATATAGTTCCTTTCAACGGATGGCCCAATTAAGAAACCCAACGGACCTATATGTCTGGCCAGAAGACGCCTCTTACCCCTATACACTATGGTCCTTGGGCAGTTTTCTCTTGTGTATGTTCGTGACCAAATTTCTCTCTCCTGTTTACTTCGGCCGAACAAGCGAGGTCTATAGACGGCTCCAACCTAAGGATAAAGGTGAATGGGATTCACGGTAAGTGTAATTGCATCCGTATTTTGCTATAGTTATAGTCCTTCGAACTACCGATTTTCGTGTGAAGAGAATATTCTCTTCAATCATATATGTATGATTGAACCTTTTTCCCCATTCGTTTGCAACATCGACTGTTCTAAGACTGACCTTCACTTAACTCCGTCAGAGGTTAGACAAAACCGTAGTGAGAAGCTTAAGAGGGATAATGAATGGATATCGTTGTCGTGGCATCATACCCATACCACTGCAGTGCTGGACGCCATGGATGAAATACTACTACATTCGAGATTGCCAGCCTCCCATTCATTGCAGACTTCCCCGTGGTAAAACAGAACCTGTTTCTTAGTTCATATACAGGAAAAGTTATCTCGTATTGTTCAGCCGCCATACTAGCAATTTCCCGACCAGTTTTCGTGTGGGTGTCCTCATCGCTCCACATAACAGTTTGCCGGTGGAAGCGAACAGGCGAGTTCCAGGAAACAGTTGCAATAAAGAGCACACGATCGCCGGATCGAGAGCATTACCCGCTCGACGTCTCAGCGTCGCACTTGTGCCCGTCATCGGAGACAAAATCAGATAGCGAATCCGAACGTGAATTCGAAACGTCGGACGAGTAAGACTTATTCCAGCGATGGTGCCTCATTTTTCCGCTGAATAATCATAAATTTGATTCTTGTGTTTTCTGTGCTATTTATGTATGTCCAAATAACTAATTGCCGATAGGGACTCGTGCTCTGAGTGGTCTCCTAATAACCCTGCCAGCACCAGCCGCGGAGAGCGCCTTCTGGCCGATGGGGCTGGTGCTATTTATGGCAGGGCTGGAAACCGACAATTGGCGTAGCCATGGCTAGGCTTGGGACAGTTTGGCCATTTCTAACTCCGCCCCCCCCCCCACCTACGCTAAAAAGTGCACAGGAGGCCTCACCCATTCGCTCGTTTTTTGCCATTATTTTACTACTGAAAATTTCGCCAAACGTTATGTACCCGCAAGCCATGGATAAGAACGTAACTCCTAAGTGTATTCAAGCGACCCTCACATATGTGATTTAAAGTATGACCCCCACTTATTTCGGGCACTTCCCTAACAGAAGGTAGTTGGTAGTTAGCAGTCTACTGGCGTTTAGATTTGCCTCCGTACCTGTCTCTGGCTCCATGGAACCAGTTGATGGCCGTTTTTCGAAAAGTCTCTACAGTATTGTTACTAAAGCTGCCATTCTGCCGAATGGTATCTGTACGTGTTTTAAAAAAAGTAGATTTACCGGTTATAAAGCCACGTAGGCAGCTTACTGGTGGGTCTGCCCCAACAAGAGCTAAGGCATAGCAGTGGACAAAGTAGAACAGTCAGAAGATTTCTAACTAACTCCCCCTCCGTTCGCCTCCCAGCAACAGACAACGGTTTTCACCTGGAAAGTGCCGTTACCGCTGGGGGACCCACTGATGAGACGAACCCCTCGCAGCTGTGTCATGCAGCGGCAGAATATTGACGAAACACACCTGTATGAGCTTTTGGCCAGTACCTGTGCTGTTAGCATGGTATCCCTTTCCCCAAAAAAATTACCGTTTACATATAACTGATAACGTATCGCTCCCTGTTTAAAGTCGTTCTCAGAAGACAGCCGATCAAGGAAGTCATTGTACGCCTCGTCGGTACACAGATACGCTCGTCCCACTGTCCGCAATATGTCAGACAAGGTTGTCTTCACTTGCTGCAGGTCACTGGGGCTATCAGTTTAAAGACAAAACCGGAAACTTTACACACTCATTTCCAGTAATGACTGACCGACAGATGAACAGGTTGTTTTGGGTCGTCTCTTCTGTAGTCTCGTGTGAATTCGAGAGAGGGTTGTTTCTTGTCCATGTCCCACTTTGTTCGAGGACAGGCTTTCTTCGTTAAAGTTGTCACACTTAAAGCGTTTTGTCATGAAGCCAACATTTTCCTATTCTTTCCCCACCTTTAACACTAAGTTTAAAAAACAGGTGGTTCAAGTTATTTTCGTGGGAAATGGATATAGGAACTTTCATGAAATCCACTCCTTTTTGTATTGCATTTTTCTAAACGACGTTGACCACACACGCCTATTTGTATTGAAGTCCATCTTAGTCACTCACCATACTTAGCTTTGTGGACCGGATAACGGACCGTTGCCCCTAAAGCTACCAACTTTCTGCTTATGGGAGTTAACCCCGCACTTGGCACTTAGGAGCCCAGCACCTCAATAAAACTACCAAAACACCAATTTACGGTTCCGGATGCTAGAGCTTGAGTGCCTTTAATGCCGGCTTTTTCCTGATTACATATCCTCTTATCTCAACGAAAACATTTTTCTATCAAGTGTTCGACCACTTAACCTTCCATTATTTTTCGAAGGCTTCTACTTGACTGTCCCCCATTTTACCTGGAATGAAGGACTTTTAAAACTTATTGGGCGCTTTTCAGTTGCGATACAAGCTAAGTTATCACATATAGAAATAACACGTCTTATCTTTTGCCTATTTGCAATTTGTAGGTGATAATTCGCGCTTTTCTGTGACTCATTATGGACATTTCTCTGTTTTACTGTTACTTTAATAGCATTTCTAACTCTGTAAGTGCTATGTCCCACAATTCTCTTTTATTCTGGTCCATTTCCCTGCTTTAATCATAGTACGTGTATTACACCATCGCTTTTGGGTGTCTTCAAGTTGTAACGTGTCCATACGCTTCGGTCACGTCTCAAACTGTTTTGAATCTAATTATACTTCAATATTTATATTACACTGGTATAATTATCGCCGTTTAGTTGATCTTGCAGTTCATTAAGCTCTAAGTTTCCCCGTCTGATTTTCCTTAACTTGATGCCCCATAATTTACTTTGCTTTGCTACCATATTAGACTTTTACTTTGACCGGCTTGCCATATGATCCAGGGACTTTCGCTTCTTGAGCTTTTTGAGACACCATATTAGATTCACTAGACACTTGCCCTGCGTGAATTCTGCTGTGTAAAAGGGACTCGAAGGATCCTATTCATTAACCCTCACCATATGTAACGATCTTCACGCGGATCAGGACTAATTGGTGTTTTGCTTGTAAACATTTCGTCTAACAATGGCTCACACAAAAATGGCCTTACCAGAATAGTTTCAGTATACACATAATAGAAAACCAGTAGGTATGAACTCCATAGAATTCAGACGGCCCTTAAAGACGGCACCTGTGTACAATTGTTAAGCACACTCTGCTAACTCAAAGGAGTGCAATGGAAGTGAAACCATGTCTTATATAAATAGCCAGAGCGTCTAGTGCCTGAGTCTGATAGTCGCTGGGTTCTAGTTGCTCAGAACACTTATACTACCACTCACAATACTATTTGCAATAACACAAGGAATACGTAGAAGCACTGTCTAAAAACTGAGCGGGCGAGTTGAAAGTGTCTACCGGCCTTATCATGCAAATAAAGCTAATCCTTTTTTTCCTCGAACTCTTGGTCGCCATTCACTACTCGGTATTACTGATGCATTCGATGTTTTCGCTGTTCGACTGCAACCACTAATTTTATCGTCATCGCTGTCGTTAAACTTTCACATATCTCAGTTGACTAGAAGTAAGGAGAGAGTTCCAACCACACAAAAATCGATCTTGCTGTCTGGAGTTTTTACTTTTCACCATAATCTGTCCTTTGGTAAGTAAAGCACGCTCGAGAAAATGCAGTACTTATAGAATTCACTTTTTAGTCGTCGAGCGCTGAGCCGCCACTGAGCATCAGTGATCGTCATCCATCGTGCCGTTAATCTTCACGTCAGCTGCACAGCAGAAGCTTTATTGCTTTCCATGCCCTTTAAACTTTCTTACTTGGATTGATTGCTGCCAGACTGGTGCGTCGTGGCTCAGCCAGCTTGGCCCACGAGACCGTTCATAATTACGGACATCCCACGTCCGTTGAACTCAAATCACGGATTTATGCCTACCGCCCACATGGCGACCCAGTTAATGGACGCCACTTTTTTCACTGTTGTTTCGTATTCGTCTATTTACGTCCGTCACTTCTTGTTTCAATAGTGGATATTTCAGCCAATAACTAACGCCAGCTGACCGACTCGACTGTTTATTCCGCTTCGCTTCAGGTTTTCACGCTAGGGTGGCCGTTGACCTCTGAAGCGTTCTGAGATATGGTCGTTTACGATATAAATTTGGTTCTTCGCGGGGTTCTTTCATCTTGCCCCGTATGACTGCACGAACGATAGTCTTCGCTGAATCTCATCATACCTGTTTGATCAAGGCGGGATTCCATAGTTGAAGTGCTAGTTCACTTGGCTTTGGCCGTTTTCAATTATGCTTTGTAACGCGTTGCACGCATTGTTCCCCCGTCGGGCCCTTTGGTGATAATGGACGTTCTGGTTGGTCATGCTGCCCTGGCCCGGGGCCGCATAGTTTAGGCTTTACATTCTGCATAGTTCTCCTTTATCGGAATCATTTTGTCACCCTCCTTGAAGATATTCTTATGTTGTCTTTTTCCTAACAGTTTAAGAAGTTTGTAATTAGAGTTGTGAAAATCCCCATATCTGTATTCAGACGAAAAGGGGGCGAGCGAACGTTGCTTCCGATAACTTCTCGTCAGGCCAGTACAGTTATATGGAACGGGGTACAGTGAGTGAAGAAAAATCGATAAAAGTTGGTTTCGATAACTTCTCGCCGGGCGGTGTTTGCGCTTACCTGGGTTGATCACTCGTCGCTCCTGTCGGTCACCTGCGACCGACAGACCAGCGTCAGGAGCCCCAATTCACACCCGACACGCACACCCTGCTTGCTCGCCCTGTCCCAAAACATGCAGACCTCGCGTGAGCCCATTCGGTCAAATATGCGTTCACAAAAGCATGCAGTACTAAAACTGCACACCCCACTCTACCCGAATCCACTTTGACTACACGCGTGCTTATTCGGTCACTCCTAAATATACAACCGTTGGCAACACATTACTCACGAGGCGCCATGGGATGCAGATTTTTAGCCTTAATATAATAGGCGCAATATGGTAAGTGGGATGTGCGTACCCCACTCGCGTGACAACTGTGCTACTGAAGGAAGCCCACTCATTCAGGTTAGAGGGTCACCACGTGTGTGTAAACGCAGGCGAAGACTTTCACGCTGCCTCAGCCATTGCCCCAATTTAATTTCCAATTGACATAACTCGGACAGATCATCGGCGTATGGGAGAGGGAAGTGAAGCAGATACCAGGGCGGAACCCATTATCAGCGCATTCCTCACTGTAACAAATCGGACGTGCTGAAGTCTAACACGACGCGCTAAGTGTCGCGACTTGAAAGGTTGTCAGCCGACGGCATGAATCGATCCCTCTCACGTTATACACGTACAGTAACCGACGCAACTCACTACTTCATGACAAATTTCCTATCAATCAAGAGCTGGTCCAAATGCATTAGTCAAAACTCCAATTAATTCTGACAAATCTTTAGTTAAATGAGAACTCCAAAGACGCATTGAAAGCACTATTTCAGAAATGACAATTTTCTTTAGAGTGGTGGAAATTCTGAAAGCTCGAATATTCTGGTCGAATAGGTAAACTTAATTCACATAAGTACTTCGTATAAGTACTTAAGGCCTTTCCATGCAAACAACCGGGTGGTGATCGCTCTAATGTTGAATTTTATATTCGACCCTGGCTTCCTTAGCACTGTTTAATCTCTGTGTAGGCGCGTCTGCCTTATCACGTTATCCGTAACTCTAAAGGGCAACCTCTGGGACCTATACGACTAATTTACAAACGAGTTCCTGTTTCCCTTTAACTTATTACTTTTCGTCTCCGAACCGTTCTCTCCATTCACCCCTGCGTGCGTTCGATCATTACTGTTTTGCCGTCATTAAGGGCACAGCACCTAGAACTTTTAGCGCGGTCTCCCAAAAAGATAACATGCATCAGCGCTTATAGACTTTTCTCTCTACCCAGGAAATTCACCAATTGTGCTGCATAAGCAACCTGTTTCTCCTCATCCCCGCCCTCTTCTCTGTTCGATTTCTCTTCGCCAACTACATCACTGTCTTTTAGAATGAATGAATGATGTAGCGTCTGCGTCTTCCCCAGTGTGCTCGACGGAAATAGACCTCAATGAACCATTATTCTCGGTCCTCGTCGAAATATTCATAGCTTCACTTCATGCAGTTAGCCAGCCTGTCACGAGTATTTTTGGCTGTTTTTCAGAGTATATAGTCCGTAATTCCATTAATCTCTTCCTTCTCACTAGATGCGTCTCTTCCCTTCATGCGGCATCCGTCTCCGTTCTCAGCTTTATCTCCCTGGTCATTGATCATGATCTATGGATCAACCCAATTACGTGAGTGGCCCGTTTATGGGTTATTCTTTTTCTCACAGATCTTTATGCGCGGGCCCTCGTGCTCACAACAACACTTCACTTCTCGGCTTGACTGAAGGATAAAGATTAAATTAGGTTTTTGCAGGACACCCGCCCGGGTGCTATTTTCCTCCGCGTTGCCCCACTGGTGATGCTGTACTCACCACTACAGTTTCCTATTTACTCACTGTAATCAGTGCGTCATGTTTCTTCCACGTGATGTAACTTGCGAGATTCGCGCAAAAATTCCTGATGCAAACGCTAACCAGTCTTCGTCCTCCTCCAAATGTACAGCATTAGAGATACCCTTGTTCCTCATAAGACAGTATAGTTTGCCTTGCAAGTAATTTCTCTCTGAATGGGGAATAAGACTTTTTTTAATGAAAAGCAGAAATTCCAAAGAGCGAATGCTTTATAAGTCGCTTAGCTAAGGCTAAGTACAACAGTGTGTGATAAAGGCAGGCGTATCAGAGGAATAGACAGAACTAGACCATAAGCCCTCCCCCTCTTCGGAAATGTCCCGAAATCCTAAATCCCTTCCTCTATCACAATTTTTATTGGTTGTTTCTAAACTTTCTTTTCTCTGCCTTGATGTTTATTACTGCGCTAGTCTGATGATGAACAGTCAGAAGCGTATGTTTGAAAATCGGACCCATCACGAGAGCTTATTCTGCCAAACTGAAAGAATTACGCCAAAATAAGCAGGTTCTCGCCACCAGACCTGACAAGGGTTCTCGTCTCGTCCTGATGAATAAAGTAGTTCGGGTTTCAAAAAAATTATTTTGATGTGTCAGTGCCCGACAGATCCCACTCTCACATGTAATACATCAGTAAATCTATCAGATATGGACACGGCCAACTTGTCTCGGTGAACTTTTCAGTTAAGACGTCTTTCCTTGCCTAATACCAATTTAATATGATAATTGCGGAGATATTTTCAATGGGTTCGGGTTGGATCTGCTCTCGCTTTGAGGACCGACAGCCGGGAGACTCGCTGTCGTTTAGAAAACTAACATCATGCCTCTTTTGGCAACGAATAGAAATATCTACCTTCAAAGGTATTGTGTCCTTATGACATAGCTCGATGCCGCTGTAAGCGAAAGCATCCTTCACGATGTTGGTGAACACCTTGCTGTTGACGGTATACGTTGTCTACCACCGAAGTGGCTGCTCGCTGACCGTCCTTGAAAGTGTGTTTTCGCGTGCCGTTCTTTCCTTATATGACCACCTGATCCTGCTCCGTGGGCTTACGTAAAAAAAACTTACGCTCAGTGTCTGGATCCTTACCTAGCAAGTGGAATATGTTTTCCGATCAGTATCTTATTTAGAGGGGACACTAACACATGCCCTCTACGAATAGTCTTATCCGGCATAACATGCTACTTTTTAACCGTTTGACGGACAAAACTGTTGTCTTGCCCACTTATGAACTGCATTCGCTCTTTTCGCCTATTGCTAGGTACCACTTTATACTTACTAATTTGTCGTAGGTTGACCTTGATAATTTTGAAACTACTTGCTACCAACTCAGATGACTGCTCTTCGACTGCTGTTTTCCGTGTCTGTTCACTGTCGACTGCGGACAAAAACTGTCCCAACATCCTCACTGCACGGCGTAATGGAGAAGGGTGACAGCATGTTGCGGATATGCCTTCTAGCGCCTTGGAATTATTAACACGTTAGAACAACTATTGTCATCTGGCCTTGCCATCGGAGCAGGGTGAGTGCGGATGAGAGAGTGCCATAAATACTGGCCCACTCCGTGGAGAACGCGGTGCACGTCGTCGTTTGCGACCGTCAGACTGCCGTTGTTGTCCTTGGGCAGCAAATTGCTCCTCTCAGCAGCACTGGCCCTGGGCAAGTAAAACCATACAGCCTTCCATTCGTCCGAGGAGTCGGTAATGTCGTGGCCTTCTAGACAATGAGGCGTTTTAATAGATATGTAAATCCCTATAATGCCTGGATTCAGTTGTAGATGTCTCTAGCCGTTCCTCTCTCATATTAGCTTTGGTACTCGAAAATCATGCCGGACCGCAGGTGAAGCAACATTTGCCATCAGGAAATATTCGTTCGCCATGTCGTAAAACTGCAACGGCTTGCTACCAACTTACAGGTAACTGATTGGTCACGTCGGTCCCCCATCACGCCTACAGGGATTGTCGCTGCATGGTCCCGCGAGCCAGTTTGTTTCGCAGCTAGCCTAACAGACAGGCCTCAATTTCGCACCGTGTGCGTGCCGGGAAGTGTGAAAGACCTGTGCGCCCACCGAATCGAGCGCCTATGGGGCACGATCTGTCGTCTAGTCAGTGGGCGAGGGGAGTCATCGCTCAGGACCTTGTGAGGGATCGGCCGGGAGGATGTAACTGATGGGCCGCCTGCAGCCCATGTTCTGACCACAGGCGAGGCGTTCCAGCAATGTTTATTTGCGTGGCGCTTTTCACCGCGACGCACGATTCGATTAGCCTTAAATTGACGGAGTAATTGGGCTTTACCGAACGCTGAGGATTGGGCCACAGTGGCGCCTTAATGTTGCCATTGTGGCAACTCTCACCTGCGCGAGATCCGCGATCCACCACGTGTGTGCCACGCGTATAGACGTGGGTTCAGCCTCGTCGGGCACTCCGCCCACGCCCCATCCCCACCCGTCTTTACTCTCTCTCTCCTCTGTCTTACCACTGATTTTCTAAGCAGACGTTGCACAAGCTTACCTTCGTTTACGAATTAACACCCTCCCCCGCCTCCCCAGAGAATGTCGGCCCTGGTCGGTTACTACAGGCTGACCACCGAATGCTTTTCCGTTGTGAACGCTTACCAGTGTCCTATGGAGGTCCGCCAAATTCCTCTGCAGAGCCATGCTTCTGGATACTTGATTAGTGAGCTCTGCTGCTCTGTACGCGTTTACGAGGCTTTTCCGTCTCGCTGTGACTGCAAATTCCCAGCGACTTACTATGGTTTGGAAGGCCAGGCCAGTCAATATTGACGCTTATACTGTAAGCATTGGGCATTTGCGCTCTACTGGTTGATAGACGAGCAGTATGTTTCACGGGTTGTATATCCTCGAGCCAACCACAAAGAATCACGGAGTACAAAGATGCTGAGATGACCTTTTCTCTGCCAGGAAGAAAATGTGTACTTATATCGACTGTAGGGACTTCCCGACCTCGCTCCACAGATTTTCCCATTGGGCTGTCATGATACGGACTTTTGTGTACACTTTGACCACGACCCTCGGTGGCATTGTTTACTTAGCAGCTATTTGTGATGTGAAGTAAAGACTTCTAGAAGTCAAATTCAAAGGATGTGCGAGAATTTTTCATTCACCTGGCTCACCGTCCTGCATTCCATCAACGAAAGTAAATCATCTTCTGCCTACGCTCTTTGTTTCCCTCCCTCCCTATTCGGTGCTAAGACTTCGTCTGGGCAGAGTAGTTATTCATGCGGGGAGCCCGCGGTGAGCACTGCTTTCAGTGACAGAACTTTTGAGTCAAATGGGTGAACGGTTATCACGTCAACCACCAACACTGATTATGAAATTGCGACCACTAACATTTCAGATGCGACGGTCAAGTTGTCTTCACACGAAGTATGACCATTTGCGGTGAATGTGGAGTCTGCTAATCTTCGACAGTAGTGCATGATGACATAGCAACCGCATCGTATAAATGTCGCCCTCCTTGTACGTTTCCGGTCCTTATCCGTTGCCGTCTTAACTAACTGGACTGAGAGCGCATCCGAAACGTCAGTCGAATACCTCCGTTAATCTCGGCCCTTCCTTCCTAAAGTTATTATTTGTGGTTATGATTCTTAATATACCATGTTATGGAGAAGATGGAGACGCGATCGCTGAAACAAACCTCATATTTGCCTGACGTTTCGAACCCATTGTAGATCACATCACCAGAGAAAAAATCGGATAGGGGCAATACTTCGCACAATTGCCTGATTCCGTCTCCGATTATTGTATCGAGCGTGGTTCTGAAATGTCATGTACGTAAAACACTAGTTCCAGCGATCGCGTTTCCTTCCCGACTGCATCAGCGGATTCATCGCTTCTATGGACACTTCAGGTTGCCAGGACTGGATTATCACGACGGTTCGAAAGTCTGGACCTTTCCATTTCATCTCTGCATGGGAATGTATCCCATTCCAAACGCATCGCATCCTAATTTAGTAACATGCGTCATTTTCCAGCTTGATGGTTTGCCTCGTAGCAAAAGCTCTGAAAGTGCGACCTGTTTATGCCAATTTCAAACTCATTAAGGAATTCAAAAGACAATTTGGCGAGCATACGTTAGCTTTCGATGAATTCTCATCAGGCCTATACATTTATATTGCTGTCGAAATGATTAAAAGGAAAATGCGGGCAAGCAGGAGTTATTCTGTAGCTGGGGTTTGGGGCAACAGCAGAGGCGGCTGCAATCAGGCTATACAAACCAGTTCTATGCGCACAGAAGAACTTCCTACAGGCCCACAGTTACCATGGTCCAAAGCCACCATGCCGGCCACCGTATAATTTCTCGTCCCAGTGTCCACCATCCCCTTCTCCCCCCTGACACTGACGGTAATTTTGTTTTCCACCTCACCCACCCAGACCCCCCCCCCAAACCCCAGCTACAGAATAACTTCTGCTTGCCTGCATTTTCCTTTTAATCCTTTCGACAGCAATATAAAGGTATAGGCCTGATGAGAATTTCTCGAAAGCCTACGTATGCTCGCCGAATTGTGTTTTGAATTCATGAAAACCCTTTCGCGTAGGCGCTGGATTGTGTGTGAGGGCAAAGCAAAAGATACTATTTATGAGCGATATCCTGATCCTACAAGCCGCAAATAAGGGGAGGAGGGGGGAGGCGAAGAGGGTAAAAAAACACCGGAGTGGCCTGGGCGTCTTGCTCATGTGTCAGGTCATTGTGACAACCACCTTCGGCATCACCCTCACACTCTTATTCCCGTTATGATCGGTGCCAAGACGTAGCCAGAACGACTGGTTAGGTGGCATGGCGTAGTCTCTGACTTGACCTAAATCCTCGTCTACACGGACTGCTACGCGCTTGTTGCCTCCTCTGCAGCCGAAAAAGACTTCACGCGTAAACGTACCAGTGTTGCCCAAACGAACGGGCTAGTCTTAGTTTGGTTTCACTGCCGGTCGAAGCGGTTACGGCCCTAATCACAACGTAATGAAGTCACCGATGCGGGCTGGACCCTCCTGTACTACAGGTGGCCATGCGCTAAATTCCAGCGATGTTGCTATTCTCGTATTATAAGTTTAACCCTTAAACTCGCCTCCACCCTAAGCCTCCTAACCCTAACTCTAACCCCCCCCCTCCTGGGATTTATGGCAAGACCACCTGTAATACGGAGGACCATATTCCAACCGAACTGGGGCGGTAAAGAGAAAGTCTCTACTGTTACAATCACTGTACGCTGGACGTCGGACAATAAGAGTTGCTCCTTTAGTTTTAAGTCGTTTTAATAGTTTCACTTGAGTGTGCCTCATTTCGCCTATTAATTGGCTCTCCCCAGGGGAGTCTGCGTTTTCGGTCATATCAGACTGCGGTTGACTGTTCGTGGCCAACAAGCGTTTTTCGCGAAACTGCAAGGCCAGCGGGGATCAGAGCGCTTGCTAAGGTACGCAGTGTGCAGACAGGCGTTGTCTTCATGAGGAGGCGACCTATTGATCAACGGTATATTTGCACTCCTCACACCTCACCTGTAAGATGTATGCCGCCCACTCCCTGTTCCGTGAAATCCTGGTGCTTGTGTTTGGGGGGCCAGGTCGTGCATGTGGCGCCCGCGGACAAGGTCACTAGACCATGTCAGCCACCGCGCCCATTCCTCGCACCAGTCAAATTAACGCCTCGGACAGCGACTCTGGCCCGGGAATGGGAAGGGAGAGTAAGGCCGACGACTCAACGCATTCTCCTCACTATAAACAATCTGACCCGCTTGGAACTATCGCGGTGCGCTAAAAGCTGTGGCTTGAAAGTTATCCAACTGACGGGATAACTTGGACCCCGCAGTCGGCCCAGTGTGTGTTTGTGTGGAGCAGCCGACTGGTGGTGGTCAAAGAGTCAGGTTGCAATAGCTCCTTTATAATGTGGTCTTTATGGCACTCCCACTCCATGAGATCCGTGCCAGGTGTGACGCCACGCCAAGGGGCGGCTCCGGCCGCGCCATCCATCTGTGCCCTCCCCCGCCTCCGGTCTTCTTAACTATGTCTTGACACGGGACCCAGGTGAGGGAGGATGCTGCAGTAGACGCTGCGCAAGACTAAAATCACTATACAAGAAATCACGCGCAAGTCACCGTGTCTGCTTTCAGTTTGCTGTGGAGCACACAGGAGACGTCGTCGAAATCGATAGTCGAACTGTCACCATGTGCACTTCTTTGAAGGCGTACTCCGCACAAGTTTTGACTACTGTTTTTTGCACTTGCTTGTAGTGCGTATCTGCCATAGCCAGAAGTCTCAATAGTTATCTTGCTGGATCCTTTTACAGTGCGTCCCCTCTATTGTTTCAGCCAGGAATCTGATGTTGTTTCTTCAGCTTTTTGTTTTCCCTGACAGTGTTTTATTTTAACCCAGAGTTTAGTAGATATTTGGTGCTCACAAACTTACCATTACACCTGGGGTTTTCAGATTGGCAAAGTTGAAAGATTCGGGTTAGAGCTTTGCTCGATGCTTGTCACTCAGCTTCTCAGGTACTGTCCACTTCTCAATTTTCTTAACTTTTAGAACCGTTTCCAGGGTTGGCTGCATAGCTCTCGCAATATCAATCGGCTACATGATTGCTGGTAAGTCGATTTTACTTCTGTTTTGTACTCGATTCCGTGTGCCTTTTTTTTTCTTTCGACGCCTTAAAACGGACCAAATTGCGTATTTACCATCCGGCCGAGTTCGGACACGCCAATGGCCGCGACACAAGTCAGGCTTTCTACTCACCTTGCCTCTTGGTCGCTTATCCAACGGTGGCAGCAATAAGAGTCTATTTTTGACTATCGCAGCCACAGTGTGCAGTCCTCATGGAAGTCTAGGGCACTGTATTCAGTAGTCTGTTGGCCGGACGTCAACTTTCAGTGTTTTATTTTACCTGTCACTGCTAGTCCGAAACTGCCTACTCGTCAACCGCAGCAGTTTGCCGCCCTTTAAGCCAGCCCTTGATGAAGACTGCTACTTTACTATTCGCCACGCATGACTGTACTGAGTAGCCAGCAGCGAAGCGAACTCGTGGGCCCCCCTCTTCCCGCAGCCCCCATCCGATTTCTTTCTTTCCATCGTCGTTTCATATTTATCAGGTCACCCCACATGTAATTTCGACCTGACCAATAGGATTTGAAAAGGAATCCACCTAATATTCGTACATGGCCATTTTTCGTTCCTCACGATCGTATTGTATCTGTGACTAGGAGGGTTGACAACGGTAGGGTGAAGGACCCAATTAGTTAACAGTATACTGTGGATCGTGTCATACGGGAATGGCGGTACTGGGGGGCTTACATGTGGGGCAGCACGCTGGACAGAAGGTTGACGGAATGCAGGAAAACACAGAAGACGGTCGGTGGCAAAAACGATACTTTCGAGTAAACTGGTGAATGTATGCAGATACGGTATCTACAGTTCGTGAGAAACCCATGGCGCTGGTTTATGGGGCTTACCAATATTTTGTTCAAGGCCTATCAGCTTGCCGTTGAGGAAGAAGGCACACTGTTCCGCTATTTTAAGCGCTCCGCTGCCCATGGACTTGTTTAATCAGTCTGCTTGTTATCAAGGTCTGCTCTTCGAAGGCTCCATAAAAAAGTGTTTTGTATGGGGCAGATCCCCAGGACGTTTGCCCTTTCAACGGATGTGCATTTAAACAGCAAATACTGTCTCAACGTCCTTTCACATGCCTAAATAAAAAGAACAGGCTAAATCCAATCGAAATTGTTCCCATGAGTTGCAATTCGAACCCCTCCGTTGTAGATCAGTTGACCTCTTGACTGGTCATCGTGGCAGATCAATTCTGAAGGATTTGAACCTTCAGAAGGTACTGTACCGCTTTTTTGTTACATCTCGCGTTGGTTTGAGCAAGCACAGGTCGACGTAGCATGCACTGCCAGAATGGCCATTCAAATGAAATCGTGCAGGGCTTGTTAGATCATAGTACTGTGAGTTCGTGCGGTTATATTTGTCTAAGGCAACCCTAGTAAACAAGAGCTGCCAAGCAGACCAGGTTCGACTTCATTACCCCCATACTTGCTGGTCGGCCTCTGTGGCAAACTTGAAGCCTTTTAGGGTAAGGTGATTCCATACTAACAGCACATGTACTAGCCAAAAGCCCATACACGCGTGTTTCGCCGATATTCTGCCGCTGCATGACACAGCAGCGAGGCGTTCGGCTCGTCAGTGGGTCCCCCAGCACTCCCTGTCTGCTTTCTGGTAGATACTCCAATTTAAAACTTTGGTCTGAGCCTATAGACCTTAAGTATACTTATATACTCCAAGTTCGCAATTAATTTCTAAGGAAATTAAAAAGCTACAACGTGAAGCCTGTTACACACCACTACCGCCTACCCCACCTCGCAGACGGCTTGACCCTGTGCATAGTTTGATGCCGTGACCTCAGCGCAGCAACGGCCGGTGCCATAACAACCAGGTTTCTGGTGATCTGCTCTCGGAGACGGTTGTTGCTTGCCGCGCTAAGCAAATAAATGCCTTTGGACATATGTACAGGATACCCGTGTGCGCACTGCTGCAGGTTGCGTCACGCATTAAACGAGGGCCTCGAGCCATGTCGTCCGTTGTGCCAAATATCATATCCGGTCATCGCTGCCTCGAGCTTGTCGCTGATTTGCGAAAGGGAGTGAGTTCTTTGCGCTCCTGAAATCCCGCTTAGTTTTCTCACAATAAGCAACCGAAAGCACTTTCGCACTAGCACGGCGAGCCAGGAATGGTGGCTCGGAGGGTTTCCAACTGGCGTGGTGACTCAGCTCATCTCAGGACTAAGGATCAACCAGCAGTGACTTCTTTTTTTGTACTGTGACCTTATGGAACCTCCCACTTCTGTAGAATCCGAAACATCTGCATCGAGGAGCGATACGGGTAGCGTTTGGACCCAGGTCGTGTATGGCATGCTGCTGGATTTGGTCGACCCCTGCACCTACGTCCATCCTTAATCATCTTTACTTTGCCCTGACATGAAAACACGCTGAGCGCGTGAGTGGATTCTGGGGGGTGCTACGTAAGTCGGCTTGGCAGAGGCCTTGAACGTGGCCCCATCTAGTCATTTCCTAGTCAATTACCTACGAATTTCGTACTTATATCGACTCCAGTACGTGGGTTTCTGTTTAGCATTAGGGTTAGAGTTGAGGTAAGGGGCAGTGATGGTGCTCATCGCCTTCGACGAACGGCCTTGTCACTGTCCACACACATCTGGGATCCGTGCGTGCATAGACCTTGTGGGCCAGTCTAATGAACGGTTTCGTGCTACCGTGTCATGTTTGTAGCGGTTTGATCTCTCCGATCTTGTTCCTTCCGTCCGGTAGCCCGATGTTTTCATAGCTTCCTCCTGTGCGTTCTCTTGTGGTAGAACTCGTCGCCTCCAGTGCAACTTTGCCTGTCCAGATCACTTTAGACGGAGTCAGGATCACACCTACCAAGTATCGAATGCCGCGGCCTTCTAGCTGCTATGACAACAACCAACAAGGTTGTTGGGCCCAGCCCCGTTTCCGAGAGCCGAGTTGATTGGAGGGTTTATGAGTGCCTACGCCTCTGATTGGCTGACCTGAGGCCTGAATGCGTACTGTCCCATCCACCCGAGTACTGTGGCCACATGAATCCTAGTGTGGCATGTTCACGCTCAAGAGTTGTCTCTAGGCCTAACGCGAACTAGTGTTGCACCTAGAACGGAGCCGGAGCCGCCTAAACATAGGCCGTCTCACGTAGGATAACGCATGACCGCAGATCTGAATATGGGGAAATTTAATCTGTAGGGGGTGATTAGATTGCAGTCTCAACAGGCCGAATGCAAGAGAGCTTTCGGGACGAATGCGTGCTCATGTTTTGGCGTCTTGGCTGGGGTTAGTTGGAGTACACAGAAAAATATGCACTCCTGACCATGCAACTCGAGCGCCTATTGATTCAGCGCCTCTTGGGCTCCTGTGATTGGTTGGCCAGTGCCTGCGCGTCATGCGGTTATGAAGTTACACCAACAGTCACCTGGATTCTCGTGGTGTGGTTGCCCACCCGATGCGAAACGCGGAGTGCTTATGCCCTCCTCGGACCTCGGACGGAGTACTTGGATATACACTTCAGCAGGCGACAAAACGATCGTTGGCGACGACGTCACCTTCTCAGCCTATGGGCGTCTCTGAAGTTCGGCGTCTGCAGGGCATTCCACCATATGCCAGTTTAGTACGACCC